TAACATGATGTACTGTATTTACAACGACTCTAAGTATCAGGAAAATTGTCTTTTCCTTTCCCAATGGCAAAGTGAAGCTCACACACACTGTGACAGTTCACATTCCTTGCTTCAAGTGGCCCAGCGGAATCGTGCTTTCGCTTCAGTGGGGCTGGGGGGGTGTGCACATTATTTGGAAGAGCACTCCATATTTGGAAGAGCACTCCATATATGGGAGCCCGGATGGTAGATGGCGCGTAAAAATTGCGAACTTTGTCGTTCAATTTCGCGGTCAAAATGTGGCCCTGGCAAAAAATATGTTATAGATTATAAAAATAGACCAAAAAGTCTACCATGTCAGATAGAGTTTTTTTTCTATATTAGTATTTCCAAAAAGTCCTCAGGCACCCTTCAATATGACCTTAAAAACAGAGATGGGCGCCGCCTATGCGTCACTTGATGCGGGAAGGCTCTTTAATTTTAAAAGGCATCTTAGCATGCCTGAGAACAGCTACATTGGTGACATAATTATCCCACTTGAAATAAAGAATACTACGTTAGTTACGCATGTGAAATGCGTTTTTTTTTTTATAGCGAGACCACGTTTCACTGCCATAAAGCTGAGAATTCTGGAAACAAACATGAGTGAATTGTGAGCTTCTGGTTACCCCCAGACTCTCTTCTGTCTGGCAAAGGAAGCTGCTACTGGTCGTCCTGCAGTTGATTTCACCTTCCAGGGAAATATTTTCTGCCACGGTGGACCCTAGAAGTAAACTTAGGAACCACGTCCAGCTCATAGTTGTTAATACGGACTAATGGGGGCTGATCAACTCCCTGGCCCATCACTTTTGTTTCCTTTATGATTACAGTCAAACTGATGTCCTGACAAGCAACTTGATCAGTAGAAGACTAGCTGCTTTGATATGCAGAATGGCAATTATTATACCAGCTGAACATTTCGTATTCATGAAGATTATCATAGGGAGGCATTTGCTTTTAGCTCTACATGTGTGCAAAGTGACCTTGATGGCCTTTATCTCCGCCTTGTTGAACCCCAGGCTCCGGGCGATGGGCTTCCACTGGTCCCGCTTCACCTTCACGGACAGACGGTTGAAGATCTTGAATAACTCTGACTCTATATCAAGAAATAAAACAAGTGGAGAAAATGCATCAATGTGTCATTAGCGACACTACATTAAAGTAAGACTGGTCGTAAAAGGGGTACGTGTGAGTTGATAGAAAGTCGCAATACAAACCGCTATCTTAGGAAGGCAGGTTAAATTAACTACACATTTTAGATAATATCTATAACAAATTTCAACAGAATACATAACTAGTATTTAGTAAGAATAATATAAAGATGCAGGATGCTACTGGTACACCCTGATCTTTCCATATCCATTTGTATTCTTTCAGTTGACCTTCAAACATGACTCACCTTTCTCGGCCTCCTGCTTCAGGAAGACCATGATAGCACCTGTCCCCTGTAAACACACATCCTGAGGAGGGTATGTGAGGGGGTTATCAGAAACATGCAAGTCCTTCAGTTTATCTGCTCGGTGGATGGCCGTTGGGATACTGGTGATGTTGTTGTTCCTGATGTCCAGTATCTCCATGGCAGGCAGTTCACACAGGACTTCTGGGAATGTGTCGAACTTGTTGTACCCGAGTCTGACCTCACGTAGGTTGTGCAGGTGACTCATGGTGCTCGGCAGGGTTCTGAGGAGGTTATGTTCTAGTGCCAAGAACCAGAGGTGTTGGAAGTTTCCCATTTCATCTGGGACAATCTTAAACTCACAGCCACCAGCATACAGTTTCTCCAGTGTTTCCAGCTGCAGAACGTGTCTTGGGAACTCTTCAAACTGACAGCCGCGGACACTGAGTATCTTCAGTCTGGTGAGTCGCCTAACGTCACTAGGGAGGCGTCGGATGGGGTTCTGGCCGACAGCTAACACATCAAGGTTGGACATGGAACAAACCCCTGCTGGAACCTCTGATAGCTGATTACAATTAATGTACAGTTCTCTCAATGTGTTCAAGTTCTCAACCCCAGGAGGTAAAGTGAAAAGTTTGTTGTTACTGGCATCCAACAGACCAATGTTGGACAGAGCACAAACCCCTGGTAGAACTTCTGTCAGCTGATTACCATGTATGCGTAGTTCTCTCAATTTCTGCAACTTTTCTACACCAGGAGGTAAGGTAGCAAGTTTGTTGTTACTGGAATCAAAGGTTACAAGATTGAGACAGGAAAACAGTTTCGTAGGAAGTTTCGTTAACTTGTTATCCCTAACAAATAGCCATTCTAGTTTTTGTAAAGCTTCCAACCCGTCAGGCAACTCCCTCAAATTGTTGTTCTGGACATATAAGTCTTTCAACTTTTGCAAAGAACCGATCTCCTGTGGCAAACTTGTCAGCTTGTTGCCGTAAGCGTCCAAACGGAAAAGTTTCTGCAGACGGCAGATCGCGCCCGGAATGCTGGTGAGTTTGTTGTTGGAGACATCTAGAATCTCCAGGTCAGCGATATCAAACACCTCCTCCGGGATGGACGTCAGACCCTGGTTACTCAGGTCAAGTTCAAGGTGACCGTTGACTGTCTGCGGCTGGACGTCCCGACGCGCCGCCATGTTGAAATAATTGTTCTGCATAACACAAAGATTTTAAATATGAAGCCCCAAACCCGCATTTTTCTGACATGCAAGCGCTACAGCAAGATAATGCACAATCTATGGCGATAAATTATCTACTAAGAAGAGCTTGTATAATTCTGGGCCCGAACTTTTTAGCTACAGCATGACCTTGAAGAAATTGTCACTTCCATCTATATGCAACTCCTTGCTGAGCTCCACCGCTTTCTAGAGGGTAATTGCTGCCAAACCGTGTAAACCATTGCAAGATTCTTAGGTCTAAAGCCCAGATAACGCATGTAGAACCGTTAGATAGCGTTTGGGCCGAAACTAAGAACGTAGACGAGCACACTATAAGGCTCGTAATGTCTATCTTATGTATATGTATTTATTGTTCAAAGATAACTTTTTAATTGTAAATCATACTGCATTTCAGCCAATGACGGATGTTGCTGTATGGTGTATAAACAATTCATCGAGACACAAACCTGCACTCACACAAACACACACACACAAATATACACAAACACACGACATATACACATACACAAACACTCATACACACGCACATGCACACACGCGCGCACGCACACGCACATATACACACACTTACATGTTCTTTGTTCTACACAGGAAGGATATCCAGACTTGTACCCAGAACCATGTCTACCTCTACTTCTATGCCTGAATGGGTTAGGGTCAGGATCAGGCTCGGTCCTCAGAATAGTCTCTGAAATATTTGCACCCAAGAAAATATGACAGTTACTTTATAATGGTGCATAACGGCAAAATATTCAGATTATATTTGATATATTGGTTATCATAGAAGTTTATATGTACTGTTAAAAATCACAGTACAATGTTTCACTTTCTTCCGACACAAAGAGGAGTATGGGATCAAATTTTCAACGATCACTGTCGCCTCAACTCGCGTGAGAAACATGACTTCAGGGATCGATCGAAATACTGGGTGCATGTGCACCTTTAATAGTGCACCCAAAATTGGATCGGTGCACCCAATTTTTGACTGTGGGTGCACCGGTGAACTAAATCAAGCGAGGAGTCTAGTGCAAAAAGATCGAGGCTTTGTGTGATTTCAAGATTTTTTTTAATATTCTTTTTTCGATCTCGGAATCCTAATTTACCTTTTTTCGGTAAGATCATTACTGTGTTATTTCCATAGTGATGCAATTTACACTCTTGCTACGATCATTTTTAGCATTCTTTACGTGTGGAACCCTTAGTTTGTTAAGTATACTGTGACGTCTTTCCCAGAAATTAAATGTTGCTGTGTAGAAATTTTGCATTTTACCCTTAGCAAGTCATTTGAATTCATAATTTTACCTAAAGTTTACCCTTACTTTAAAAAACAAGCAAAGGAACATGTTGTTAAGAAATTAAGCAAGATTATTGATGCTATCGTGTTTGTCATTTGTTTAAATTTCAACCAACTTCTCTACCAGTTTATCATCAAATTTTGACCAAGTTTAAACATAAGATTGTTGATTGTAGTACAGCTGTTCTGGTACAATTAAAAGTACTGTACAGTCTGAAGTGTCTTCTTTTGGTAATTTTTGTGTCTCTTTGGAAAAAAGAATTGCAGGAGCAGTAAGGTTGGTTAGATAGCTAACGAGGAGCAGTGATGTTGTTAATTTGATATTAGTAATATTTTACTTATTAATGTACTACTGGAAATATGTGGTGCACCCAAAATTTTTTGGTGCACCTAATTTTTTTGGTTAGGTGCACCAGTGCATCTAATAAAAAAAATGAATTTTGATCCCTGCTTTATTCACACGAAACTATATGGATACGTGACGTCAGCAATTGATCAAAGCAGTTTATATGCATATTGAATCACCGGACCATACTGTTTTATTGGACAAAGTCAGAGTATTGGACACTGAGATGGACTGCGTTTTAAGAGGTATAAAGGAGGCCAAATATATCAGGGCACTCCAGCCATCACTTTAGTGGAGACAGGTGACGATAAAGTCCCTGGCACGTTTGGTCAACTGTTGACATCACGTATCCGTAACGTCTGTATCCGTGGAAATAAGGTCACGTGTCTGTAGCCGTAAATCGACTTTACGTTCAGAAGTTGTTTGTCACTAATTATCCAAATCAAGGCGACAGTGTTCGTTGAAAATTTCATTCCTGTGTACTTAATATTGTACTATCAGTTCTATTGGTTAGATGTAGGATTCTATACCCGCTAGCAGTATAGAAATGTTATACAAAATTGAGGCCGGAGAGGGCTCATTTGTCACTTGTAAAAGAATCTGTAAATCGTGACATATAACATAAAGAGTTATTATATTATTTTTTTTCACTAGTAAGAGTATCCATCAATCTAGTACGAAATAGTTTTGAAATAATCTGATACGTGTCTGTGGCGTCGGGTGGCGTAGTGGTAGATCATTCGACTGTGAACCGGAAGAGTTCGATCCCGAGTCGTATCCGGAACATGTCTGGACATGCGCCCGACGTTGTGTCCTTGGGAAAGGTACTTTACACGACTTTCCTCACTCAAGCCAGGTGTGAATGGGTACCTAACTTCGGTTGGGGAAAGCCGTATCGAGGTAACCTTGTGGCGCCGATATGCACATATGTACCATGTGTATTATGTGTATTTGTATGTGTATTATTACCATTTGTATCATTGTATCATTGTAAGCCCTGCGTCAATTCAGCACTATAAGGCTGCGATTGCACGGGTGATGTCTAGCCAATAAACAATCACTAGCACCTGTTTTGTACCTTGAAAGTTCTCAAAGTGTGTATCCCTGTCTTACAACGCACACAAAGCGCACTGTTAAGTGAAGACCAACACAATGATGTCTCGTTACGCACTACAACAGACTTGGGCTGTCTGGCGAGTCACGGTGGTGCAGGGTTACCCTGGGATTGTTATGGTTAACTTTGCATGCATCACTGAAGATGTTTTACAAACAATTGCGCCCGTATTGAATAGCAGGGTTTGTCACAGGATGATGTTCAAGCAGCTATTGTACATTCAGACATTAGGAAGTTTTGAATCAACAAGTCCTACCACCACCGCCCACTTAAAGCACACTATGTCTAATCCTGACATTTTCAGCCTAACTGACGCTACTCACAGTCTTCTTATACTCACAGAAAATGTGATATAAGGTTACTGTGGCGGTAAGCAACTAGGGGTGTTTATCCACGTAGACTGTATGGCTTGAAGTGTTTGATGTCACATAGGTATTCACAGTTCAAGTTGGTTAAATTGAGAAAGTTAACGTTTTTTTTTCGTGTGTTAGGCATGTTTGTGGAATGTAAGATGACAGAATGATCCCACCTGCGTAAACCTTGTTTGTTGTTGCGTTCAGACACCTGGACGTTCACGTAATTAGGGGTGGGTGGGCCGCTCTGAAAAAAACATCAGAATGCCCAGTAGCCAGCGCCGACAATGAACTATATAAACAGAATTGTTGGTAGTATTTGTGGAGATCGTAAAGATCTCAAAGAGAGAGAGAGTGGGGGCTCGAAAAAAGGAGGCCGGGGACTGAATGACGTGTCGCCCAGCAGCCCGGCTTGTTTTCACACATCTCAACAAATTTTCTCTGTTGAGACCCACAAATTTTCTGCACACGATGGCTTTGTGGTAATCTCCTGTCCAAAATTCCGAAGCGATTGGTGGCCGATGGCAAGTTTGTTGACAGAAATTGACGAAAGTGTGGACAAAGACCCTGAGATTAGCTAAAACGCAGCCATCTTGGCCGTTCTGGACGAAACCAACTATATGATCCAGAGGGGCCATGCTGCAGGGACATCTGCACACAAAAAAACAAAACACACGATGTATATTCATAACGCTGTTATCCCCAGATTGCGTGACAGTTAGATCAGGTTGCACACTACTATTCGCACCTGTGTTACCTGTCTGAAGATGGAAAGATAATCTGTCACCGTCTTTCTGGTACACATGACCTTGCGTTACCTTACGACATTGCATCGCCCAAAGCACAGGAGTTCACACCTGACTACAAACATGTTTCACCTAGGTACATGTAGTGAAAATCTGTGGGAAGGAAAAGCACCAACAACTTATTCTCACAGATTTCACTACATGCAACAGGCAGTGTTTGTAGTAAGGTATACATGTATTATGGAAGAGCTGTTATTCAGACGCTGGTGAAACGTCATTATCTCTAGACAAGAAGAATGGAACAGTTCCTTTACTCACACTTGTCACACCTAAGCTGAGCTCACACACGTTGGTGGACGTTACTGAGTTTCCTTGCTGGTAACCATGACAAAACATCCAAAGCAAGAATCACCTCGTATAGGAAATACGGGTCTGTCCCAACCCACACAGTTTTCTTTGTCCAGCGCATGCCGCAATGAAAAAAATGATCAGTCCCTTACTACAGACCTAGAAATTCCGAGAGGGTGGCTACCGGAGACGGTGTTGACCTAACGAACGTGTGAGGTAAAAAGGTCAAGAACGGGTCATGTGATGTTTTGGGGAGGGATCAAGTTACTTTTTTTATGAGGGGAGGGAATATGTGAAGCGATAAGGCGGCACAACACGGTATTAGCCCTATGGGGATTTCTATAGTTAAGGACCCCAAAGTGACTCACTTCGACTCACTGAAAATCATAGTAGGGTGCACAAGCAAGGTTCAGAATTTTGATATGTTTAATTTCAGGTATTGTGTACAAAATATGTGAAAATGAGCTTAAATTTGCCGGCTAGGTCTCTTCCCATGCCCTCTTTTATTAGCGCCACTGCGGAGGTCATGGAACTGCAGCAGACGCACAGTACTAGGCGGGGCGAGTATCCAAGCGCAAATCTACGCCGACTGAAACTTCAACACGCACCATAATTCATCTTTTACAGTCTCAAAACTGACGTATTCCTCTAACGTTTATCACAGGTTCGATGCCATGCACAGAACAATCTCTGCACCCTTCTCTAGTATTGTGCAGCACTACTTTGTGCCCGGACTACTTTTGACTACGGGGTTCGTCCATAAATACTGTGTTGTGCGGCCATTAGGTGGGGACCGGTTTCTTTTATGTTTTCAGGGGGGGCGCGCTTGTAGAATTTAGTAAGCAAGCATTATGGCAGTGAGTTGTTGACGTTACAAAGGATAGGGTTGAGATTGCTTATTCAAGAAATCAGTCAAGAAATTCTCAGTCCTGTTAGTTTTTAATCCTTCACGGCACGAGGTGCTGCGACTCCACGTACGTACGCCATAGAGGTGAATCATCGGATCGACTCGTGTACGGTCGGAAGATTATTGACCCCCCGCCCCCCACATACAATATCGCGTTTTTGCCCTATTAATGTCGATATTGGGATAGTGTTGTTTCAACTTACTATGTAGATAAGAGAATAGACAACTAAAACGGCATTTGGCCATCTTTAACTTAAATCTACACAACAACCTACCGTTGGGGCAGACTTAAATTCTGTCTATGCATTGCCCCACTGGGTCATACAAACACACATAAACATGCGGCAGGGAACTGAAGATTGAAAATGGGATAACCGTACCTAGCTTGTTGAAAAACAAGGGAAACACAAACATAGTACAGTAACATACACAGTGAAAACCACAACCTTCCTGCATGAAGGAAAACATTGATGATGCCCAGTGACTAATTTAAATGTGTCCTCAGCTGTCCCATTCTGATACCTACATGTCATATTCACAATTTGGTTCGGTGTTACGAAAACATCCACGACTTATTTTTCGGCGTATTTCAAGAAGACATAAAATTAGATGTAAATCGACTTTAACTAAAACCTATTTCATCACATTTTCAGCGGAACAACGAAGCGAGAAGATGCTAGAACTACACATTGTTTATGTACGTTTATAGCTCAATGATTGGAAATAAGATTTGTTGTGTATATCTACCCTTAGCCCTCACTCACTCACTCACTCACTCAAGGCCGCATGATTCCAAGGGGAGCGTAGCGTAGCCCGCTGAGGCAAAAATGTATATTGAAGGTATTCGGCCTTCATTTTATGAACCTTTTCTACTGCCCATCCATCCGCCCAGTTTACTACATCTCTACACAAAAGCTCTGTAAAAGGCTCTTTGTAGTCATTGGTTCCATACACTCGACTAATTTTTACGATTCTACGATGAACATCTTCATTATATTTCTCAAATTTACCATGAAAAGGATAGGTGTTGTTTTCTTATGTTGTGGAGAACCTGTAGCAACGACCTCAGTCATTGAGGACGAGAGTCTCCGTACTGGTCGCGGGTTTTCTTGACTACTCTTCGAACCCTCAGCGAAAATCATCAAGATGAGGACGAAAATGCAAAGTAGCCTGATCGAACGAGTCGTCCTCGTGTTGACTTTGCTTCAACCGATGACTCAAGCAGCAGGTAGGACAACAATAGGATCGCTCTTCTTTCGATCGGATCTTCTATTCAACTCATTCTTTTACAGGGGAAAATGACCTAAACAGTCTTACGGTCCACGTACATTTGCTTATCAAACGCAACTCAATAATTTTGAAAATTTAAGATGATCAAACTAACTTGTTTTTTTAACTATTACTTTCTTTGTGTTGACTGAGCACTTTTTGTATGGTATACCCTGTGGTTACATTGCACCATCCTATACCTGACCACCAGTCTGATGCCTCAAGCCATCAGACACGGTTTGTTGTGCAGAACGGTTTTCCCTGGTTTTAACCGCTGTGTTTAATAGAGATATCTTCCCGTCCGTCTCAGTCTAGGTCTGTTTCGTACATACTTGCCTTGTTTGAGCCTGTCAGGGGTTTTCATTCGTTTTCTTCGGGTATATATGACATAGTTCCCCCATTATACATTATCTAACCATAGTTATTGCACTGCTGTGTGGCTCAGGGCTACTGAAACGAAGACGGACGCAGTATAAGCAGCCAGGAGGTTCATAAGGGAAAAAAATTCCTTTGTTTTGCCGAAACTTACTTACATACCAAACATGGATTCATCCTCAACTTCTCGAGTTATGTTGACCACATAAGTACAAAAACACGGCACCTTAACCATGTATCATTAAAATTCTTTAGGAAAGTGGAAAATAGCCAAGTATCGATTCCGTACACGTGTGCAGTGCATAAGCATGTTATTAACTTGGGGTCGTGTGAGGCTATGAGTGTTGCCGTAGTTACCTATCAACAAACAGCTTTGAAACGGTAATATTTTTTAAAAGAGGCTGCACACTCAATATGAATAATTTAGTACGAACAGCTAATAAAACCAGGAGGCATGCCGTATTATTGTGTGCCGTATTAGAAGATCACCCTGTCAACAGGTTTTGTTTGCAAATAATTCTGCCACATATACAAAGACTGTTCAAATCCACCTATACTGAAGAACAGTATCTAAAACCCAGTGGGTATGTGTATAATAAAAGTCTTCATTCATATTTTAAACTGTGAAATTCAAAAATGTACTAGTTTACAATCAGGCCTTTGCCTCTAGATTCGCCACTTCTTTCTAACGTCTTTTCCATGGTTCCACTGTGTGCTGAAGTATTTTACTGCTATCCCAAGGCCTCGGTGGCTGTGTAGGATCTTGTGCCACTTTTGAGATGGCAATTATATCGGCTTTTATATTTAGGTATGAATAAAATCATCGATTCTCTTTATATTTCTTGTCCTTCACCTTACTCTCCTGAGATTTGGTTGAATGGATTCAACTCCGTCATTTTTAGGCCAAATGACCTGGCATCTGATACAAAGGTATAGAGGGCAAATACCCAAAAAACGGAACGGAACCTGTGCTTATAATAAACTTTCTTATTTTTGGTTACCAGAAATGTGCATGTTTCAAATCTGCCGTGTTCTCTAGCCTATGTTCCATATGCCTGGCATAAAACATGGCAGTTACTGACACTGCATACACATCAAATCAGGCAAACATATTTCACAATTCAGTTGACTATTGCTTCACCAACACATAGTGTATAGGTTAGGAAATAAGTGTCTCATATACGTCAGATGTTAAAAGGCACTGTGTTATACCCTTGCCCCCTCGATTACTTACTATGGCTTCTACCACATTATGTGGTAAAACATATTGCTTTCCCTTGTGTCTTCTTCTTCTCCTGCCATTTCGTTAAATGGATTCAATATCTTCAATGGGCTAAATGATATGAAATTTGGTGTTATGGCAGAGTGGCCAAATACCCTCATATCTTTTTTTTTATTATATTATAGATACAGGTTTTTAAATTGTTTTATTTGTTGTTGTTTTTTGGCCATTTTCAGGCAAAGTTACATTTTGAAATCTGGAGCCCTGGTATTAAATTCGACTTATCTGAAATTTTGTATGGAGATACTGGGACGAGGTCGTAACCTCACCGGACCAAGCCGTAACCTCATCGCCGGGTACCACCTTCGACCTCGCGGGCATCTGTCTAAGATTATGACGTCACGTGTGCTTACCAGTGCAAAAGATGTTCAGAAGAAGACGGTTATATCGGGTATTGCAGGAATGACTTATCGGTGCTTGCTTGACAATCCTCGGGATCAAGTCAAGAAATTCTCAGTCCTGTAAGTTTTTAATCCCTCACGGCACGAGGTGCTGCGACTCCACGTTCGCCATAGAGGTGAATCAGGGGATCGACTCGTGTACGGTCGGAAGATTATTGACCCCCCCCCCCCCCAACACACAATATCGCATTTTTGCCCTATGAATGTCGATATTGGGATAGTATTGTTTCAACTTACTACTATGTAGATAAGAGAATAGAGCACTAAAACGGCATTTGGGCATCTTTAACTTAAATCTACACAACAACCTACCGTTGGGGCAGACTTGAATTCTGTCTATGCAATGCCCCACTGGGTCATACAAACATACATAAACATGCGGCAGGGAACTGAAGATTGAAAATGGAATAACCGTGCCTACCATGTTGAAAAACAAGGGAAACACAAACATAGTACAGTAACATACACAGTGAAAAACACAACCTTCCTGCATGAAGGAAAACATTGATGATGCCCAGTGACTAATTTAAACGTGTCCTCAGCTGTCCCATTCTGATACCTACATGCCATATTCACAATTTGGTTCGGTGTTACGAAAACATCCACGATTCATTTTTCGGCGTATTTCAAGAAGCTATAAAATTAGATGTAAATCGGATTTAACTAAAACCTATTTCATCACATTTTCAGCGGAACAACGAAGCGAGAAGAAGCTAAAACTACACATATATTCTAGTAAATGGTTTTCATACCAGAAATAACTTATGTGCGTTTGTAAGAACGTTCTTCTTTATGTACGTTTATAGCTCAATGATTGGAAATAAAGATTTGTTGTGTATATCTACCCTTAGCCCGCTGAGGCAAAAATGTATATTGAAGGTATTCGGCCTTCATTTTATGAACCTTTTCTACTGCCCATCCATCCGCCCAGTTTACTACATCTCTACACAAAAGCTCTGTAAAAGGCTCTTTGTAGTCATTGGTTCCATACACTCGATTAATTTTTACGATTCTACGATGTACATCTTCATTATATTTCTCAAATTTACCATGAAAAGGATAGGTGTTGTTTTCTTATGTTGTGGAGCACCTGTAGCAACGACCTCAGTCATTGAGGACGAGCGTCTCCGGACTGATCGCGGGTTTTCTTGACTACTCTTCGAACCCTCAGCGAAAATCATCAAGATGAGGACGAAAATGCAAAGTAGCCTTATCGAACGAGTCGTCTTTGTGTTGACTTTGCTTCAACCGATGACTCAAGCAGCAGGTAGGACAACAATAGGATCGTTCTTCTTTTGATCGGAACTCCTGTTCAACTCATTATTTTACAGGGGAAAGGGACCTAAACAATTTAACGGTCCACATTTGCCTTTCAAATGCAACTCACTACTTTTGATTAAGATGATCAAAATAACTTGTTATTGAAATGTTCCTTTCTATGTGTTGACTGAGCACATTTTGTAGAAAGGCTGTAGTTACATTGCACCATCCTATACCTGACCACCAGTCTGTGGCTCATATGGAATGCCTCTTGCCAACATCCACGGTTTGTTGTGCAGCACCTTCTGCCCGGTTTTAACCATTGTGTTTAACAGGGATATCTCCCTGTGTGAGTCTAGGTCTGTTTCATACATCTTGCCCTGTTTGAGGACAGGGGGTTTGATTCATTTTGTTTTTAATCTCCGGGTATATATGACATAGTTCCCCCATCAAACATGTACTAATCATAGTGATTGCACTGCTGTGTGGCTCAGGGCTACTGAAAAAAAATGGGCGCAGTACCATAAGCTAGAAGGTTCATAAGGAAAAAAAATCCTTTGTTTTGCCAAAACGTACTTAGTAATACGTACCAAACATGGAGCCATCCACAACTTTACGAGTTATGCTGACCACAGAAGGACACAATGACGGCACCTAAACCATGTATTACTAACATTTGTGAGAAAGTGAAAAAAGCTAAGTATTATTTCCGTACACATGTGCTGTGCATAAGAATGTTATTAATTTGGGGTCGTGTAAGGCTATGGATGTTGCCGTAGTTACCTAGCAACAACAGCCTTCAAAAGGTAATAGGTTTGAAAAGAGGCTGCACATGTAGCCCGTACATGAATAATTTAGTGCGAACAGATAATAAATCCAGGAATCACGTATTATTGAGTGTAATAGAGGATTACCTTGTCAACAGGTTTTGTTTGCAAACAATTCTGCTACATATTCAAAGACACCATATTGTTAACGATGAATTTAAAACTGTTCAATGAGGTTTTTGCCCCTAGTTTTGCCACTGCAGAGCCATTTAGTTTTAACGTCTTTTTACAAGATCCCAAAGTCTGCTGAAGTATGTCGATTGCTCTCCCAAGTCTGTTTAAGGCCTCAAGGAAAAGCTACTATTGTTATTGGGTGGGCTGCTCTCTCTTCGCAGCCAAAAGCTGAATTGTGAGGAGCTTAAAAATTAATGTGGTTTAACCGCAGTGCTCTGGAGGGGCTACCATTCGGCGCTCACCCGGTTGCGGCCTTAGGACTGTAGTGTTAGTGCGATCTACTCACACCGGGAAGGTCCCCTACTCTTTTGAATTAGGCCATGTTGATTTGATTATATGGATGACATCCGCGCGCGCATGAATTTTCGGCCGTTTCCAAAAAAAAAAATTTCAACCATACTGTAAATCGTACAAAACAGAACAAAAATATACCGTAAGTTACAAAAAAATAAGTAAAAACTATACCAATGTCGTAGAATGCCAAAATCAAACGAAAAAGACAAAATTGTAAGGAAATGAACTTGAAGATTAGATTATTCGCCAAACCATATTCTGTCCCATTTGTTCAATCCTCAAGACCACGTAGATTTCATAATGAAAACAACTTTTTTTTTTGCAAAACTTTTTTTTTATTCGCACGCTCGCATCAGTTTTGGGGATGTCATCTATATAATCAAATCAACATGGCCTTAGTGTGGCTTACTCCAAACACGGGACCTCCATTTAACGTCTTATCCGAGGGACGTCTCTAACTGTAGGTAATATTTTCACCTAAGTGAAGTGAGGAAAGCGCCCTCGTGTAAAGTTTCTTTTCCAAGGGCTCAAGATAGGTTACATCGAGCAGTATTCAAACCAAGGACTTGGTTCGGAGTTGAATACCGTTACGCCACACGACCCAACTGTTCCGAGATGACAATTATATCAGTATGAATAAAATATATCGATTTTCTAGTTCCTTTCCTTCTTCTACTGCCATTTCGTTAAATAGATTCAACCAACCTTTGGTATGGAGGCATAGCCTCCTTCGCTGACTTGTAGGGCACGGCGTTATTTTGGGGGGGGGGCGGAGCGACGCGAGTCATGCCTCAGAGGGACAATTTCACCGCCGAGGGAGTTTTGCCCGGGAGGGACGGTTTCGCTGCCCAACAAGGGAGGTAATGGAGATACATGTTTAGTGGGCAAATACCTAGTGTCATAATAAACACAAAACGAACGAAGCCTATGCTTTTAATAAAGTTTCTTATTTTTGGTTACCAGAAATGTGTATGTTTAGAATCAGCTGTGTTCTCTAGCCTATGCTGCACATGCTCCCACTTAAACATTTTCGCATAGTCAGAGTATCAAACAAGCACTGGCGGCAATGGGGCTGCAGGCCGTGCCATGGACGGGATACTTCGCTGGGTCCTCCTGATATTTTAGTGGAGAAGATCATGAAGTGATATTATTCAAGCAAAATAAGGACAATCACTACATTATCAAAATGCTAAATATTTATAATACATCGCCCAAAAAGTTTACGATGATTTGGCGAAGGTAGGAGGTTGTAAAAAAAACTATTTTTTCACTGTTGCTTGTCTTTTTACTAAAATAGTTATTCAGAGATGGCGAGCCGATTACCGCTGTGGAGACGGTTACACTACAGCAGACGGAAGTACCGCTGAGTGCGACCCTTGCGGTATCTACCCATGCTGCTCTCCGGGCAAGTGGTGTGGGATCACTGCAGCTCACTGTGACTGCGCGGATTGTGTCGACTACCGTACCACGGGTCTGTATTTTACAATTTGTGAATGTGTGTGTGTGCTTGTTGTCTGCGTGCGCATGTGCTGTTGTTGTTGTTGTTGTCCGTGTGTACGTATGTGTGACTGTGTGTGTGTGTGTGTCTGTACGCGCGCGCGCGCGCGCGTGTGTGTGTAGTATGGCATTGTTTTAGAAATCAGTATTCCTTTTTTTACTCCGTGAAGGAGGTATCCCTCCTGCAGGAGTATTGTGGTCAGTGGGTTTTTCGTGTACGCACCTAAAACACAGGGTTCTCTTTTTTAATCGGCATGTAATTTATACGTCGTCTGCGGGTATGTACGTTATGATGCACGTATTTTTACATATTTTTATCGTAGCTGTTTTCGTGGTCGATGTAATATTTCAGAGGCACCCCTATATCTAAGAGTCGCCGCAAAAAAAAACCGTTGTTTTGAATAGAAGGGGGGTGCGGTCTCCGTTGTCTATGTATGGGGGCTTATTTTAAATGTGTTCGCAGATATGGTCGTGTCCATTGTATTTCTTTGTAATTGGGCATGTGGTGTGTCATTATGTTCGTGATGATGCACGTTTTTAGTCCGTAAAGGAGGTCCTAACCTCCGGACGGAGTATTGTGGGCAGTTCTTTTTTCGTGGTTGCAATGCTCGGTTGTCTTTGTTTAATCGGCATGTAATTTTATACGTGGTCTGCGGGCATGCCCATGTTGATGCACGTGTCTTTATTTTACCGTTGCTGTTTTCGCGGTCAAAGTAATTTTCAAAATCAACATTGATTCGGACAGGGGTGCCAATACACAAATACCATATTTGATGTGGAAATGATTTCGGACTGGTAACATGGAGCCGATGGAAGAGTCTATTCTTAAGAACGTTTTATATGTGTAGAATTCAAATTTGGACTGGAGAGATTTGAAAAATTCAGTTTTTGTGTAAAAGGTTTTGTGTTCTGGTTCATTTTATAAGCGGGTGCCGGCGGAAGATTCCATTCTTGAATATTGCTTTTTTTTCTTAAAACGTATTTAGGATGGAAAATTCATAAATTGTCTCTTCTGTCACAGACCCCTGTTGTGAAAGTTGGACGGTGTGGTTTGATCGGGATGATCCAAGTGGGACTGCAGACTCGGAACTACTGTGCCCCCTTCACCAGGAGTATCCCGGTCAGGTCTGCTGGGCACCGACAAGTATCCAGGCCCGGGTTAGAAGCACCCAACAGGAGGCCAGCCTGACGGGAGAAGTGTTTGTTGCCTACAATACCCTGACAGGCTTTAAGTGTCTTAACGCGGACCAGACTGATAACCTGTGCCTGGACTATGAAGTCCGCTTTTGCTGCCAGGTTTTTGGTATGTACGTGTTGAAACCTTCATGAAGACGCACAGAACAGTATTTCATCCACCAATCTTTTACTAAATCACTACATACATTGTAACAGCAACTGTATGAAATTCTTTTCATCAAAGGGGCCTGACGAGGATAAGGAAAAAAAATTACAGTTATACCTCTTCTTGACATCGATTGAATTTATCCGGAAAAAAGGCCAAGACTTTAAATGATGTTAACATTAATGAATAACCAGTAATAAATTTTTCTCATAGATTATGCAAAAAATGTCATAATTTGCATAAAAGGGGTGAGTGCATTCTCCACTCAAATAACAAGGAAAGTTTTGCTAGCATTTCCTCATCAATTATGTCCTTCTTTGTCAACTAGGTTCAACTTTACTTACTTCCAAATCTTGCATGTATATGGTATCCGCCGTATACCACAATTATATAATTTCCTTATTGATTGTGCAAATAAGTTTATTTTGTATATTATTAAGTACCTTTGAGCAAAGGTATGTATTGTGTACAGTCTGTACGTCTGTGTTTCAGATGTGCCCTGGTTGGAAGTATTTTCCACTATAAGCGGAACAGGGCAGACAGTTTACGATGCTTGGAGCGCTGGGGCTGGTGAAGAGGTTCTCCACAATAAGTGTCCAGTTGTGGAGATGTGGACATCCCTTAACATCAACCAGGTTAACTGCGTCTCCACATTGCTTGGGTGTCTGTGTAATTGTTTTCGTTTCTGACCTACATTGGCAAGCATATCGCAAGAAGCTTTGAATTAATTGTAAGGACATTTCGTTTATCAACATTCAGGTATTTATACCAATGAATATCTTCAGATTTATATTTCAAAGTCACTAAAATGAGCGTTACGGGCCATAGAGTATGCGTTAAAGTCGAAAAGGTAGCATGCCAGGGAATTTTATTCACACTAAAAATAGACTTTATTCAAATTATGACCGCCATACAATAGTTGTCAACGAAATTTGGTTGAAGTTGATACTATTTATAATCCTATATTACCATACAGGCATGGCATATTCAGTTGTGTCGCACTTCTTAGAAAATACGGTAGTGCATGTGACAATTATGTGTAGGACATTAATTTGGACATTGCGACAATAGCTCTTCCAGTGATTCCTGGTTAGGCTACCAACACATCACAGACCTGAATCTCCATCTTTCATTTTGATAGGTTAAGATCTTTCTGGCGTCCACTGAAGGGAATATAGAGTTGATTTTCGATGGACAGAACACGGATAAGTTCAACTGGTTCTCCAAGGATCGTCTGCGTTCGTCCCCATGGACAGACATCAGTACTGAGCCTCAAAACTTCTTCTCTCTTGAAGGAGCAGTGAATCCCAGGAGGTGAACCCTTCTTCTAGTGATATAGAATGATACGGTACTCTTCAAGTAGAAAAGCCCTTTATCTTGAACAACCTCCTATGCTGCTAAGGCGACGATGTGTGGTCTCGTAATCAGGGGTTTTGAATCTGAAGGATCTAGGTCCGAGTCCCTGGCAGGCCTCAATGTTCTGCTCCGGGAAAGGAACTTAACACTTATTTCCTTACTCGACACCGGTGAAAATACGTTTATAGATTAGGGAAGGATGGAACGTAAAATTAAACGGCCCTAGCCACAACACAGATGTGTTTAAGAACCAAAAACCCGTTTCGAGAGGAATAGGGGCCCTTCCCAGTGAGGTAAGAGTAGTTCAAACTTTAAAGTCTGATCTAAGGGTTGACTACTTGAAAAGGCGATAGTCACCTGTTACGTCAATCCTTCCACCGTAAGAAATCTACAAAAGGGACATCCTTTATCTCAACAAGACATACGCCTATTAAATGTTCTCGTGTAAGCCTTGGTCACAACCCGCCGTGCGTGCTTTTTGTACGTACGTTTCATAGGGAGGCCACGTCTGCTTCGTTTTTTTTTTTTGAAAACGTGGGAAGGAGTGGCGTCGACGCACGTCACTCGCACGGTTGCGCAAGGTGTAGGAGTGTGGTCTGCACGTCATGTGTGGTCGTGAGGGGTTGCGTGTATGTCGCGTGCAGCGTTCGATGCGCACGTGCATGGTGAGATGTACGAGTTTACAACGTACGATCTCTGTGCAACTTTACCGAGTACCGCAAGGAGGCCGTACTCACACGTGCTCCTTACGTACGGGGCACGCGCGTAGCCCGAACTCGCACTTACGGGTGGTGAATCCGAAGACCGCACGCAGAAAAAGTACATGCACTTAAAGTTCTACCGTGTGTCTGCGTGCCCCCAAATCCGTAGGATTCCGTACGGAGGTGGTACTCACCACTTACAGATACCCTACGTTTGTCCTGTAGACAGCACGCAGAAGCACGTACGGCGGGTTGTGAATGAGGCTTTAGAGTGCGTTGCATAACGTTGATACTAAACATGAGACGTTGCACGGTTTTCAACATGACAGGGGGTTTTACATCAATCGCAACTGGAATGGCTGTCCTAATGACAATGGTTGGCTTGTGGTGGCAGAGGAAGGCCAGGCTGACCCCTGCACCTGGCTACACGTCCCCAACAATCAGCTCCCTTTGATTAAGTTTTCTCGTCGGGCTACATACGTCAATTATGACAGTGGTAGGTTTTTTGGTTAACTATTTCTCTCAGATTTTGATTATGAATGGACGTAGTAACATAGTAGATAGATAGATTGATATTATTAGAATGATAGTTGGAATAGATAAAGGTAGATATGTAGATACACACACACACATACACGCACGCACACACACACACACACACACACACACGGTGATACACAAAATCTTGTTGGGAGTGACTCGTTCGCCACCCTACAACCACTCTCACATAGGCGTAACGTTGCAAGCCTTGCGTTATTTTATCGCTACTTCGACGGCAAATGCTCCGTGGAACTTAATTCGCTAGTGCCCCCACTTCGAACATTCTCAACAAAGACACGTTTGCCACTTCCACCGAAGCAAATCACCCTTCCTTCCTCCATTCACCACTTCTTAGGAGGAAGTTCCATGCTGAAAGCTTCTTTCCAAGAACAACATCACTTTGGAATAAGCTACCTCGTGATTGCTTCCCCTATGAGTATAACCTTAAACTCTTCAAGTCTAAGGTCAACAAACTCTGGCTGTCCACTCTGGCTGTTCTGTAACCCAAAACATTTTAAGTGGCTCCCATGAGCCTTGTTTTGTGGTGACCGATGAAGCGAATAAAAAAATACATACTTACAAACATACATACATACATACATACATACATACATACAGATATACAAACAGACACAGACAGATTAGATTGATTGGATAAAAACATAGATATATTGATGGTGATATATCAAAGTACTCCAACATAATATATGTCAGGTACGTAGATAATTAACTGTGTTTTTTTTTCTGGGGGTGGGGAATATTCAGGGGCCGATGTTGGAATAGCTTATCGCATGGTCATCTACATCGACGCTGGAGCCGTTCTGTGCTCAGGACCCTGTACGCAAAATGGAATCTTTTGTGAGGGTAAGAATCTTTATCAATACTGTATATGTTTTTAACCCCGCTGTGGGACTCATTTCACAGTAAGAGGGAAAAAAAATGGGGGAAAATTTTTCGCTTGAAACTGCGTTTTAAGTTCAACGATTTTTGTTGTTAATTTGTTTCATAGTTGACTATATTAACTGATTATTGATTTGATTTCGAACTTACCTTACGTTACTTAATTATGTTACTTTATTTAATGTCAGTGATCACTCTGATTCGAACTAAGCTTATGTTACTTAATTATGTTAATTACTTTAAATTATTCAATTTATGTTAATATTGTGTTGAATTCTGTATATTTCTGTTGTTATAATTTTGAATTTTATGTGGACTCCAGGAAGAATAGTGGTCAGTTGAACACTAATGAAGATCTAATAAAAACAAACAAACATACAAACAAACAAACGTCGGAAAGAAAGTTGTACAGTAGAACAATAAAATTTAAAACACACTTTCGCGGCGTCCCTGCAAATAAAAGCAGTACGAAAGTTTCAAGACCCACATTACTTGTTAGACATTGCTTGTTAAACAAAAAAAGCATCACACTTACAAGGTTGAAGCACTATATAATGCTGTTAGGTCAGGCACAAATGCCGCTGTGCTTCCAGAACAAGCTGCTGGGACCCCAATCATATCTTCCTTTTCACGAGCACAAGAATTTCATCAACCATCCAAATATTGTTCCAATTGCATGTACAGAAAACGAGATATTTAAACCGGATCGCACGCCCCAGTACCATAAATACCTGCTAGGGGGCCACGAATGTAAACAAAAGTCTGATGAAGCCGGGCGTCCCTACCAAACATCAATCCATAGAGTCTTTGTCTTGCTATCGTATTGACACACAGCGTGTTAACGGACGAGCGCTACCGAAAACAGAACCTTATTGCCGAAGGTAACTAGACTTCTTTAAGTGTTCTATGCATATATGATGTGGTTGAGCAACAAGGGATGACAGCAAATGTATCTTTAATAACATTATTTATAAGTACGGGGAACTTACGAAAATTCACCGGAACATTTGAAATATATAGATAGTTTGTGATTATATAGTATCATGATATCTCTTAACCGTGTCCTTCTACGTATAGGGCGTAATATAATGAGTGGTACCCATTTAAATTGTGGAACCTATCATTTTTTATTCAAAATTTATTTTATTTGTCTATCTGAGAAAATTCAAACTCTAGTACTACTGCATAACGGAGATAAAGTTTCGTGTGACATCCGTCACTCCTCTTCAGCGTCTCTAAATGAACTGAGAGCACAAGTCGATATTAATCACATGTGAAGGAACTGAAAAAAAAAGCTGAACATGACAAAAACTCGTAAGAGTCATTGTTATGTAAATCAGGGTAGGATAGGATACTTCCTATGGTAAGGCAATTCCATAGGAACTATATTTACGATATTCCTTTATCCTTGTATCGTGTTACTCAGTATGATGAACATGTAAAATCGCACTCTGATTTATGTATTTAGCCCTATGGCCATGAGCATGCAAGTAAAGATTCATTATATAAAACTTTATTTCATCTGTTTTTGTGTGAAGTTGAACGCTGTCCCGCGCTGTGCATCCCTACAAACGGTGCCGTGAGCGGCTCCAACACCTACGGAGGAGTGGCCACCTTCACGTGTAACCCGGGATACAGTTTGGTTGGCGCTTCTTCACTCACCTGTCAGTCAGATAGGACCTGGAGCGGAAATTCACCAACATGTGAAGGTGAGATGCTCCACAAGCTTAAAAGTATCGGTACTTTAAGCCTGATACTGTTAAACAGTTTTATTGAGCGCAATCAAAAGAACTGAACATGACAAGTTAGTACATACTCATCATCTATCTTCTCACACAACTACAACTTCCACAGCTACAACACCAGACAGACATCACAACTCTACATACCTTTATTCAAAACCACAGCTGGACAACACACATTTGCTTACCGGGGTGTAAATTATGTCAATTCTCTCGCAGTAAACATCACAGAACAAACATCTTTGAAATCTTTCAAAACTGCTCTGAAGAACTCAATTACCTAATCTTTTGTACATTGACCTCTGACCTCCAAACGGAAAGCCGACCTGGACTGTTTAATCGACACGAATTATGGATAACGATTTGGTTTAGTTTATATCGGTCTTTGTATCTGTATGTCTGATTTTATTGTATTTTTGTACTGGGCCCTATTGAAAATCAATTTGTCAAAATTGAACTAGGCCACCCAGGTGTTTTAAGATTCAATAAATAAAAAACAAGTTAGTAAGAGCTAATCAAGGAAATTATTTATATGGTACACCAACCACCACTGAGTACCAACCATCTAAATATCCTCTTAAAGACAGATACCTTGATCGTACACATCACGATTATGTCCCACTTAAAATTAATGGTATGGCGTGTCATCGTTGTATTCATCAGACACCCCTTGACTACTACAACTTTTGGAAATTTAGGATTTCTTTTTTGTCACAATAATATTTCATTTTCAAAAAGCATTCTATAACATCTATAAGACAGAAATAATCTACCATTGCAATCATAGGTTCCTAAAGGTATAGGCCTGATTTTCAATTGTTGTAAAATGTAGCCTTGGGTAATAGTTCATAAAGAGTTGGTTATAGTACAGTATATTTGAAAATGGTATAGTACAGTTGGTATTTGAAACACTGTCTTCAATATATCATTTTTTCAAATATTGCGTGAATTTCTATGTTCAGTAACTGTTCAAGAATGCCCGACACTGAACGCACCTCCAAACGGTGCCGTGAGCGGAGACAACGTGCTCACCTTCACGTGCAACGCAGGGTACAACCTGGTCGGTTCTTCTACACTTATCTGCCAGGGAGATGGGACTTGGAGTGGAAGTCCGCCAACATGCGAAGGTAACAAGTTTCGAATACAGGGCATACTTCCAATGATCTTAGTCAATCTATGCACTCGTCCATCCATGTGTATTACCTTTATTTCACGTCTAACATATTTATGATTTCAGCCGTACAGTGCCCCACACTATCCAACCCTACAAACGGTGACGTAAGCTACAGTACCGGGTACTACGGAGATGTGGCCTCCTACTCATGTGACACAGGATATAGTCTGAATGGCTACTCTACACGGACCTGTCAGTCTTCAGGGTCCTGGAGTCAAAGTGCACCAACTTGCGAGGGTAAGAAATTTTAATTTAACCCTACCTAGACCGGGGCTTTTTTTTGACATGGGGGGACCGGGGGGGCTCTTTTGACACCCCCCCCCTAAGAACTCGCGAACGGTATGTCGTATGACCACCAAATTTTTAGAGAATGGTGTAGTAGTGAAAATTTATCATATCTACAATTTTTATGTCGTTATGATGTAATATGACGTCTTTATGACGTCATTAATGTGATTTTATTGGCCAAAACCGTCTAAATAGGTTTTTCCCTGAAAACTAAATGGTTTTCAACATAACTGTACCAAAAGTGTTTATGACAGAATATTATGGTGTACTAAGTCTTATGTTGCCCATAGCAACACCGGTGACGTCATAAAATGCCGTCATGCATATTTAAGATATCCGCCATCTTGGATCATCAATCTTGAATTTTCAAAAATAGTTTTTTTCATGATAAAGCCTAAAATACATCGTAAACATACTAAAGACCTTCATTTAAACCTTTTTTGGAAAAAGAAATGGAAGTATTGATGAAATTTTAATGAAAATAACCAGTATATACCTGTTCTAATGATATGGTCCGCCATCTTGGATTTTGGCCAATGACGTCATCAAATTAGCATAAATTATGCATATTCAATGATAAAATTTACATAAAATTATATGGGATGTTATTAATATTAGAAACCATGAGTAACTTGACATAAAACCCATAAAATTCTATTGTTGAAACAAAAAGTACTAAATTTAGCAAAAAAATGCCTGTCAGAAACCCGTTGCCATGGCAACACAAAAAATTATTATCTTATTCCAATGATAGAGAATTGTTGCCAACAATATTCTAGGAAAAGTCACCAACTTTGGCCGTTCTACGGCTAGTCGTTCAGACGCTAGGTGACATCAAAGTTGCCGCGGGCACTTTTAGCCCCCCCCCCCCCGGTCTAGGTAGGGTTAAGGTAATAAAATTCTAAGTGTAAAAATCGGCTTCTGGATAGTAGGTAACAGCCAATCAGGAACACGGAATGCGAAAACGTCATGCAAGATTTGCAAGTTATTGTGACAACATGGCGGCCGGCTGTGTAAATTACAGTCAAAAACTGTCCCAAAACCCGCAGCAAGAAACTATACCGGACCATTATGCTTGACAACCGCCTGATTGCATTAGTTTCATTTAGCACCTATTGTTAATTGTTAGCAAATGAAAACGTGATACCTTGTATTTAATGATAAGACTAATAATGCTAGAGAAAAAAACACAGCAGGTCTATCAAGGGTTTTGCTTAAGTGCCATACTTGTATAAGTACTTAGTTAAATACTGCCGATTTAACACAAATTCATACATTGTAAATAAAGGACCCCCCCCCCAAAAAAAAAAAACGAAAAAAAAACTGCTGAAATTATACAATAATTAATACATCAAATTTAACACAAATGAAAGAACAGTTATCAAATTGTAAACGTCATTTTATGAGTTATTATAAGTAACCATAAAATGACCAAGACTGGCAATGAAAACATACATTGTCTTGGCGACGGTTGTTTCTGGTAGGGATTTGTTTGCATGACTAGTAGGTCATAAATGCCCCAAGTGTTTCCAGGAACTTTACTAATTTTGTCTACAGGCCTGTAGACAAAATTATTGTACCATTAATAGAATTCTTGCAAACTGCACAAACTGCACACAATACTGCACACAATACTGTATACAATACTGCACACAATACCGTATACTGTTCATGATATATACTGTATCACTAAATCAAGAGATAGTGGTTGGCTTCTCTGTCAGGTCCTCTGTGGACGAAAATGGCTGTTTATGGTTTGCATATACCGTCAAGACGTTAAATCGTAAAATAGAGCATCCAAGTTTGATAAGAAACAGGCATTTGATGCAATTTGTAGCTGATGCATTGGTGTGGATGGCCTAGTGTAAGTAAGCTACAGCCCAGACGACAATATGTTTATTAGGGGTAACTTAAGCGTTAATACAGTTTGCTGTTGTTTATATATTTTGTGTGATAGGCAACTTGCAACTTTTCCTATAATACCAACATTCTTAATCTGACAGATTTGTTTATGAAGTTTTTTATGTTAAGAGTGTTGGTATTATAGGAAAAGTTGCAAGATGCCTATGATTTGTTTGTAAAGTTACGAAATTGTGCTACTTTTAATTTGCTTGTAGTCGGACAGTGTCCCACACTGACAGCCCCTGTAAACGGTGCGGTAAGCGGCTCCAATGGGTATGGAGGTACGCTCACCTTCACATGCAACGCAGGGTACAACCTGGTCGGTTCTTCTACACTTACCTGCCAGTCAGACCTGACCTGGAGTGGAAGTCCACCAACATGCTCAAGTACGATGTTCAAAACATGAAGAGCCATTCGATTTTCGAGAAAAACTTCTTGTGATGAAATAGAAGTGCTGTTAGTTTGGATTTCGGAATGTCAATATTTTATTTTTTTTTTTAACAAATGGTTTACAAAAAAAGTAGTTGCGATTCCGCATGTTAAACAGTACTCAACATAACATTTTAACCATGTCTTACCCCATATTCTAGTTGTACAATGTCCACTACTGGCAGCTCCTGACAACGGTGGAAAGACTGGCGGCAATTCCTATCAAGACGTGGTGACGTTCAGTTGTAATCTTGGATATGATCTTGTGGGAAGTTCAAGTCTGACCTGCCGAGCTGACGCCAACTGGAGTGGGAGTGCTCCAACCTGTTCACGTAGGATAAAACGTTTCTGTCTACTGAAGCAGATTAACTTTTAGTGCCCAAGAATGATAGTAGTTATATAATTGTAACGCAGACGGCGAACAATAGTAGTTGATGTAGACCATGCTTGTACAATAAGATTATCCAATAATTCAGCTAACAGACCTCAGTCTGACGTTAACTCACAGACCTCAGTCTAGCTCTGACTACGGTGGGGATAACATGTGCAGAGACCTGGCTAAGACAGTGACAAAGACCAAGTTACTCTTCAAAACAGTTTGAAATGTATAGACAGATATAAGCAATTGAAATAAGGTTGTAAGAGGTTAATCTCTCCTAATCCAGAATGTAATGGCAACGCTGACTTGCCAAACCGTATGTTAGTGTCAGAAATTGGCTTACAATCGCTTTTAGTTGTACAGTTCCCCAGTCTTCAGAGCTCCCGTCTACATAACTTACACTGTTTTCTTAGGAAGTCAAATGGACACCAAAATTACACGACATATTTCTAGACACTTACTATCAAAGCTAAATTTAACTGTTGAGGAAGATATTTTCAAGTTACAAAAAACAAATATCTACAATTAGACACTTTTGATAGGGCTGTTTAAAAAGTTGAAATTTGAAAACAAGGTTGGTTTTCCAGAAACTGAAGGTTGTTGATAGTAATTTGATAGTAATTTCTTATGTAACTTTGTTACATTTATCTTGATCATTCTGCGTGGTTTGATATTCTTACCTCGAAAGCCAGTATCGAAAAGACGAGTATTTGAATTTGTACAAAAAAAATGGCAGTTATCATGCTTATCCGTCCCTACAATTGTTTTTGGTGGCTGGACCGTCTGGGATGTTTATTAGTTTATGTGGTCATGGGGTCAATTCACTATTCAAGCTGCTGGAGAAGTGGGTTCCCAGGGTCCTCTATCCTGTAGATTGAGTTTGCTTTTTATTTCAAATGGGTTGTTATTTTAAAAGCAACCAGAATCATAATTCATAATGCACACAGGAAAGAACAGAAATCGGTAATCATACATGGTAGGGATTGTAACAGAAATCTACATAATATATTATGAGCAACAAAAAGTATATTTCAATCGTCGTCCTGTTCTTTTATCGTGCCAGTTGTGCAGTGCCCAACGGTGCAGTCTCCTACAAACGGTGGTTCGAGTGGCGACAGCTACTACCAGGACGTGATGAGCTTCACCTGTGACTCTGGTTACGAACTGGAAGGTTCAGCATCCATAACGTGTCAGGCAGACGGCACGTGGAGTGACAGTGCTCCCAGTTGTGCACGTAAGGTTTAATCTTGTATCTGTTACTGTTGAAACAGTTGAATAGTTAAGCCAATTTGGCCAATTTGCATCATCCTCGTCTTGACTTGTCTAACTTTTGTTTCCTTTTGGACTTTCAAAAAAGTTGTCTTTCCTATTATCCACCCCATATCAATCAATAGTTCATTCTTATAAACCTGCTTTTATGGCAACTCTCCAGTGTCACTGACAAAAGGTAGTGGATGCTACCTGAGACGTCTGACCGTTTCCAAAGTCATGTCCAGTTGCTTGAGTCACTGTGGTGAATAGTTTAATGTTTGTTTAAATTGTGTGTGATTACTTGGAGAAGGTTCAATTGATTCATAATCTTATTTACCACCTCTAAAGAACTTTTATGCTACTATGACACCTTACTCCCTGTAGCCGTACAGTGTCCACTGCTGGCAGCTCCTGACTATGGTGAAATGACTGGCGACAATTACTACCAGGACGTGGTGACGTTCTTGTGCGATCCTGGATACGAGCTTGTTGGAATTTCCAGCTTGACCTGCCGAGCTGACAGAACCTGGAGTGGAATTGTCCCTACCTGCACACGTAGGGTAATGTTCATGTATTCCGTGGAAGATATTAACCATATAACACAAACATGGTTAGATAGCTGATGATGACTGAGTGATTTATTTAAAAATACCAGTGCGTCTTTTTTTTTGTTGAAAACTTGAGAACATTCATGTGTTTCAAAATATAAATTACCAACTAGGGTGAACTTCCATGCTAAAATATTACTCAACGTATAGCCGTACAGTGTCCACTGCTGGCAGCTCCTGCCTATGGTGAAATGACTGGCGACAATTACTACCAGGACGTGGTGATGTTCACGTGCGATTTTGGATACGAGCTTGACGGTTTTTCCAGTTTGACCTGCGAAGCTGACAGAACATGGAGTGGAGTTGAACCGACCTGCACACGTAGGGAAAATCATGTCTTACGGTGAAAAAAAAAATAGATTATACAATCGTGGGTAGATAGTGAAAGAGGACGGAACGATTTAGTCCAAAATCCGTGAGTTAATTTTTTTTGTAGGAGAACGTTCAGTTGTTTCATAATTTAATTTTCCAATGAAAATTTGGGGTAAGTCCCAATTTTTTCCAGTGTTGGAAGTTAAGTCTAGTCTATATTTCACAATCTTTCCCTATGTATAGCCGTACAGTGTCCACTGCTGACAGCACCTGACTATGGTGAAATGACTGGCGACAATTACTACAAGGACGTGGTGACGTTCTTGTGCGATCCTGGATACGAGCTTGTTGGACTTTCCAGCTTGACCTGCCAAGCTGACAGAACCTGGAGTGGAATTGAACCGACCTGCACACGTAGGGAAAATTATGTCTTCTGCACACGATAGCTAGATCACACTATGATATTGATTACTGTAGTTTTACTTGAAACTTATTTACCTAAAAAGCTAAAGGGTGGTAAAGTCTGTTAAGCACTGGTTGAAAAAGTGACCAGTTTTGAATCTGGTATCAGAGGTCTTGACTTGTGAATGTATGCAAGCTAACGAAATGAACCTGCATAGTTTTATTTCAAGTCCTTTGCTCTTCCATATTCTCTTTTGTCACAGCTTATACTGATTTGTATTTCAGGTGTTCAGTGCCCGGTTCCCTCGTCTCCTGTTAATGGTGATTCAAGCGGCCCCAACTTCTACCAGGACGTGGTGCAGTTCACGTGTGACCAGGGATATGATCTGGTGGGAGATTCTAGTTCTACCTGCCAGGCAGACCGGACCTGGAGTAGCAACGTCCCATCATGCAACGGTAAAATGCTGACCAATAGATATGAATTTTTACTAAAAGGCCGATGCTTTGAGAGACGCCTCCTAAACTCAGTATATCCAGTTGCTGGTAACACGTTTTAAATCAAAATTGTCTTTTCTTGTTGCTCTTTGTAGATATTGATGAATGTTCGGCTGCAAATGGTGGCTGTGACCATGTATGTACCAACACCATGGGCAGCTTCCAGTGTTCCTGTGTGGCTGGATTCACCTTAAACTTGAACAGCCACTCCTGTGATGGTAAGTGGCATCATGTCAATATGGATAAAGCATTCCTCGTCCATTTTATGACATATCTCTGAACTTAAATTGTGCTGATTTACACATACTCGACAAATACAGGTTCATTTGCCAATGGATTGTTTTAGAATGTCGTTTGCCATTTCTTGTGCGCTAATATCTGCTCCGTTAAGGTGGGAAAATGTTTGACTTGTAAAAACTTTTCTAATACATCAGCATGAAAGTTCATCTGATACTGATTTCTAATACAGACGTCATTGAATGTACCGTTGGAAATGCCGGCTGTCAACAGAACTGTAACAACATCATTGGGAGTTACTGGTGTTCTTGTGGAAGTGGCTACAGAATAAACGGCGATACTCATACTTGTGATGGTGGGATACTCTAATCATAATGAACCGCATTGAGAAATATAAACTGTATACGTACCGATTTGCTACTTCATATGAATGTGTCTACAACATTTGTTCATTTGCCTGTACCAGTGTTAGAGGTGTATTTACTATGTACCGGTGTGAGAGGTGTGTTTACCGTGTACCAGTGTGAGAGGTGTGTTTACTATGTACCAGTGTGAGAGGTGTGTTTACTATGTACCAGTGTGAGAGGTGTGCTTACTATGTACCGGTGTGAGAATTGTGTTACTATGTACCAGCGTGAGAGGTGTGTTTACTATGTACCAGTGTGAGAGGTGTATTTACTATGTACCAGTGTGAGAGGTGTGTTTACTATGTACCAGTGTGAGAGGTGTGTTTACAATGTACCAGTGTGAGAGGTGTGTTTACTATGTATCCGTGTAAGAGGTATGTTTACTATGTACCAGCGTGAGAGGTGTGTTTACTATATATGTATCTGCCTGAGATAAAATATATGTATCCGTGTTCAGATGTGGACGAATGTTCGGCTGCCAGCGGTGGTTGTGCTCAGACTTGTACCAACACTGTCGGCAGCTTCTACTGTTCCTGTGGACCTGGCTTTAGTTTAAATACCAATGGATTCTTTTGCGACGGTAAGCAAATTTTGTACACTTCATACAAAAATATATAGATCAATTTCTCCAGGATGTTGGTGTAGAACTATTCGTAGAAGAACATAATAAGACGCTTAGATGCTTTGACAAGAAGTCTGGCATGATGATAATGATTGTATAGGAGAGATTTAGACATGCAGATCATCTTGATGGGTATAATTATTTACCTCATATCATTTGTATTTTTTTATCTGCTGATCAAAGATTAGGTATGATTTATACGTATGCCCATCTTTGATTCACTTCTTTATGTCATGTTGTTGCCACAGCGAGTTAAGTATTGGTTCGTGTTTCTACCTTACAGTGAATTATAAAATCCATCATTTGTTTTTATACAGACGTTAACGAATGCTCCGATGGAAATGGTGGATGTGGACAGACCTGCACTAATCTTATCGGGAGTTTCCAGTGCTCCTGTCAGAATGGGTATAGACTGGATAGTGCGGGTTTTACATGTTATGGTATGGGTATTTTGTTACACCTTGATTGCAATGATGATATTTTAAATGGCAGTAAAAGTAATATATAAATATTCAATATAATAAAGATTCATTCCCTTTGAAATTTTACCGCATGATGAATTTTATTGTCAACATTAACATAAAATTTCAAAATACATATTTTCTACTCTAAAATCATTATATGTTTTTGCCTCTTTTTGGAGTCAATGATAGAGCAGTTTTAAAGCTGTTTGGTCATCATGCTAATCTCCACAATTTTACTTTCTCACGAGTTTGTCCACTAGTGTCCCGTTGAGGGATTGACACTTTTGATGTTCCTAAATGCTAAATCCTAAATTTTTGGATTATTTTCTTTTGGACTTACGTACCTTTTTACATCTTGTCCTATCACAACTAAGACGTGAATGAATGTGCTTCTACTAACGGAGGCTGTGAGCAGACTTGTACGAACAACATCGGGAGTTTCCATTGTTCCTGCGGGGCTGGTTACAACCTGGATGGCAATGGCTTTACTTGTAATGGTAAACGGTGTCTTGTTATGTTATGTTATGTTATGTTATGTTATGTTACTATGATACTTCATAGTATGTTAATATATATGCCATGTTAACAGACCAAAAGTGTACTTCGGATATGCTATCAGCATGTTGACACAGTTCATCAACATCATCGTCATTATCACAATTAATTTCATATCAATATTTACAAAACATTTTGAATTTATTGAGAACATGTAATCTGTAATACAGAGCCACACATGCCCTACACCTAGCGTATTGTACATTTCTCATGATTGTCTTCCAACATAGATGTGAATGAATGTACTTCTACTAACGGTGGCTGTGAGCAGACTTGCAGGAACAACATCGGGAGTTTTCAGTGTTCCTGTTCAAATGGATACAGGCTGAATAGCAATGGCCTTGCTTGCGATGGTGAGCTATACAATAGACTGTCTTTTAATAGACATTAAAATTAATAATGCACAAGAACTGTGTAAAATTGAACGTAAGTTGCTTATAAATACTTATCGATGTAGACTATTTTATCGCTGTTTAGCAACTATGAACCTGTGGCTGCATTTAAAGTTCGCCAAAAACATTGTTTTCTACATTACGCAGACGTGAATGAGTGCGACACTGCAAACGGTGGATGTGACCAAGATTGCACGAACTCCCGTGGAAGTTTCCAGTGTTCCTGTGACATTGGCTACGACTTGTCTGGCGATAGGTTTTCCTGTGTTGGTTAGGATTTTAATACGTCTACATTTTGTATCCTTTTTTCTTTGAAATCGTATTACATAGTAAAAAATCCTTTACATAGTTGATCATTTATCTACTACTATTTTCTTTACTGTTATTTTAATGCTGTTTTTTTTTTCTTTAGATATCAATGAATGTCACACAGCAAATGGCGGTTGTGAGCAGATGTGTAACAACACCATAGGAAGTTTTCAGTGCGGCTGCAGCAATGGTTACGCTTTGAACACCGGAGGTTTTACATGTTATGGTAGGAAATGTGCCCTATCATTCTTTTGCTATCTGTTACACTTATTAACCACGCTTGACACCAGATTGGAAACATTCTAGCAGTTTTCGTACTGTATAGTCCACGCTTCAACAGATCTTACACTTGTCACCACAACAATAACAAACACAACAACATTTGGACGTGCAATATCCGGATTTCCTGGCATAGTACCTTATTGCTCACTTCGGTTTTGCAACATAAAACAGGCAAAGTGCGACATCGTATATGAAAAACACCAAATAACAATAAAAAATCAATTGACACGATGGAAATAATTCTATTGTCTGCCTTGTTTCAGATCGCTTCGTTTTTTTCATCATTCTTTTGTATCTCGGCCGCAGAGGCCTTTTGCACTTTTTTTGTTAATATTCAGGATCCAGAATATCATGAACGATAGTTAGAGTATGGTCACTCAAAGTTAATGTAATCTTTTTTTTTATTTCATTCTCAGACGTAGATGAATGTGAAGCTGCAAATGGCGGCTGTGGACAGATTTGCAACAACACCATCGGTAGTTTTGAGTGCTTCTGTCGTACCGGCTACATCCTGCATGTGGACGGGCTGGCCTGTAATGGTAAGTATGATTTCTGCAATGAATATGTCATATCATCATCATTGTCGTGTACATGATACATCAAGCCAGCTTTTATTCGCAAAGGGACATATGCATTGTGCTGAGAATGGTTGTTTCTGTCAGATATTGATGAATGTGATACAGCAAGCGGAGGCTGTGGACAGTTCTGTACTAACACCATCGGTAGCTTCAACTGTTTCTGTGCGACTGGATACAACCTAAGCATGGATGGGCTCACCTGTGACGGTAAGGACTTTGCACATTTCTGAGAGATTAGATAAATAATGGTGATGGTGAAGGGCCAACTAGCATTTAGTCTTAGCACGAATTTGCCTATAGACGAGCATTTTGGCCTGGTATTTGGTACCAGAGGTATGCATATGACCATTTCGGTAGCAAATCTTAAACAAGTTAAGATGAAGTGATTTCAGATAAAAATATTTATAATTTTGGGGAAATGAGAATTGCAAAGAGTGAATGCTAGTATATGCCTTTTAAAACACTCATCCTAAAGGCCTAACGTCGCAAGTTCTGCATTTTACAGGCATTATTTCCCATTTATGTTCACTGTTAATACATGTATGTGGTTTTGTCTGAGACAATCTAAGACAGGTTTCTGTCCATCAAAAATCACCCTGCTCCACCAGTCAGATTTTTGCACAATTACGGATTACTCACATGATTTTACAATGTACATTTTTAAAGAAATCCACAATAACCCTTTCCAATTGTTATAATACAAGTTATGCTATACAATTTACATAAAGATCACAATTCTTTACATCTGCTAGTCTTAACTGTTCTGTTCTTGCATTGTCTTTCAGGACTAATTAACATTAATTTTAAACATAACGATCTGCATTGCTGATTTATTCAGCAAAGAGCCATAATTAGCTAGTGGTATATATTATCAAAATTAGTTAGGAGTAAGGAAAATTGACTCACTGCATCACAGAATATGCATAGTACTTTGATGAACAGATACACTACTAAAAGCCCCGTTGTGTTTTCAATGCTTTGCCCCACAGGGTTCGATCCTGTTTTGAATCTTTTATGTTTGTCTACGACAACGGCGTCCATCTCTGTAAGCTGGACCAAGCCAATTGCTGAAATTAATGGTTACAGCATCACGTACAGTCCTGTGTTAGGTTAGTTTTCCTTTTTCTGTATTAATATTACTGTTTATTTCGTCTGCATTAGTTAGTTATGGACAATGTTGATTTCAGAGTTCGAAAACATGTATATACTTAGACATATATTGTATCAACTATCATTTTATAAAGAACAGATTATAACATAATATATATAAATAAAGTTAGAAAATTAATGTTGCCATACGTATAAACTGTTAGTATATTATGTATGCAATTGTTGTGTATTATGTATGAATTATTGTGCTATGTTCTTTTATCTACAGGTTACTAAGACAGTAACATAAACACAATTTGCCTTGTTCAGGATTCTCCCATCCCTCAGTTATGGCATCGTTCCGGAGTCGTAACGACACCAACACGACGATATCCGGCTTGTTCAGCGGAGTGGAGTACTCCCTCACGGTTCTTGCCTTTGGACTGTGGAATGACAGCGCTAACATCAGCGTAGAGTGCATAACTGGTACTTACAATATTACTTTACACGGTAAAATATATTGGAATAAAATTTATGTTTCATAACTAGTTGTCAGCAACGTTAAACATCGTTAAGAAATAACTATCATATGTGTTGGTAGTAATCAAAGTACAATGCTAGATTTTATTCCAACAGATGAAATACAGAGGGGTGAAATTTTTAACGACCCCTGTCGCCTTCATCAGGATGAATAATTACCGATCACGTAATGTCGTCAGAAGTTTCTCAACACATCCACATTGAATCACCAGACCACACCCTGATGAAGGGAACAGTGGTCGTTGAGAATCTGTACTTGTTGTGATAGAATAAAGTTTAACATTGTACTAAAATATCTAACTTATTGCTTATGAAAAATCATTATCAAAGAAAGCTAGCTTTTCTAATACACTTAATAGTGATGATAATAATAAAGTAAGAAATTAATTGCCTAACGTTGATGTTATTGCAATATCGTTAGTTCCAAACATAAATTTTACAAACTTTAGTATTCAGCAGCAATTTCTTATATGTAACTTTTGTTTCAACTGCAGGATTGCCACCTCCTACAAACTTTACATTTAGCCAAGTCACCGAGAATTCAGCCACTGTTCAATGGACAAAGCCTGTTGATGCACTGGTGGTTGCCTACAAGGTGTGGCTAACAGAGGATGAAACTGCGCTCACAGTTTCCAGAAAGTATCTGCTTGACTCAGCGACTTCGACTATCTTTACTTTTCTAACCCCTGCAACAGAGTACGTGGTTGCAGTAACCTGTATCAGCCCTTCAGTCGAGGGACTTCAAGCAAGCGTTACCATCGTAACAGGTGAAAATTGAGGGTTTTTTTTTTACTGACGCCGTATGATATGAAATCAATTGTATTCTACATGTATATGTGCTTTATACGACTGCGGCTCTTCAAAACACAATTTTATTGCGTATCAAAACATTCCTATTGTATTGCTGCTGGCTTCTTTTGAAATGGTTCACATCAATTCAAGATTGATGTTTACCTTTTATCTTAATTGTGTGGATTTTACATTTACCGATGCAGATACGGATCCTCCCGGGCAGTTATCAGTGGACGACATTGGTTACACCAGCTTGGGTCTGTCCTGGATCCCACCAGTTGCCAAACTGACAGAATACGAACTGACCTACAGAAGAGCTGAGCACAGCAGGACACGGCGATCTCTCAATGTTTTCATCCTTCCTGGTGACGTCGGTAACTACTGGCTACAAGAACTTCTCCCTGCAACTCAATACGTCATCAGCTTGACGGCCGTGAGTCGGTTTGGGCGGAGTGATACAATCAATACAACTGTTATAACAGGTCTGTTGATATGTTTAAAACACAGGAAACACTGTTAAAGTATCTCTACCTTTGTTATGTCTATTGAGATTCTATGTCGACAATAACATTTTTAAAGAATATAAAGCGTCTTAGGATACCCTAAATCCACGGCACACGGTAACTTTTCATATCTTACATCTTAACATGAACACTAGGTTATGACCTGATAAGCCATGGCATGGGAGCCTTCTTATTTGTCGACGGCTACTGGCTATATGATAATTTGTATTCGTAGTACAGATACATGTAGCTTAATGATTTAAGAACATGATTAGTATGCATACAGGTTCTCTTTCATGTTATTTACAGACACGGATCCTCCGATTCATATCAAAATAAGGAATATTTCCTCCACCTGGATGACCGTGACATGGACAGCACCTGTGGCGACGGTCGTCTCCTATGATTTGACGGTAACCGATGCTACGACCATGGCAAAGAAACATTTTAGGTGCGTAAACTGTCACAATAAGCTGTGCAAAGAAACTGAGTAACTGATATTTTTTCTTCTTTCATACTAAAACGGACTTCCGTTCCTACATATACCGCTGGCCACATAATATGCACAGAGCACATTCAATGAAGACTGACTAAAAAGATGGAAAACAATTGTAATAAGAAACTCAACCACAGTTCACAGATTAAAGGCAGTTTTTTTTCTGAAACAGCTGACAGAAAGTTTCGTCTTTTAATTATTTCATTGCTTTTGACAAGATGGAGTGATAGGGGCAGCAAAGACAAAGGCCAAGTTTTATAATCGCCCCTGGCGTGTACCAACCATACGGCATCAGGGCCAAAAATGTTGGGGTGAAATTTCCATGAAGTGTCAGGTTCATAATTTGTGACTAAGAAAAAGACAACTATTGGAGCTCAGAGTAAGCTATGTAAGTTCAGGCCCTCTTGCAGCTTGTTCTTGAAATGCAGGGGCGCCTGTTTTAAGATATTTGGAGGAGAATATCTTGAAAAGCGGATGAATGATATTCGTGATTTTTGGTATGTAGATAGTTTTAGTGTCCCTTGACATAATTTAAGTAGTAAGCTCTTGAAACTTTAGTTAAAAGGTTTGTATGATGTACCTGGATACCTTACTCTTTTATCTGCATCCTTAGAAGTTTGGTTTACTCACATATTAGTCTAGAGTCAGTTAAGGGGATTACAGCGCTGTCTTGCCTTTTGTTACAGCATACCTCCTCCTGCAACGGACTTTAACATAACCGGGCTCTTCCCAACGACAAATTACATTATCCGGATTGCAGTTGTCAGCATGTACGGACGTAGTGTAGAAGCTGTGATCCTTGGTACCACCGGTATGTTAAAACCCACTTGTTTCTTTGGATTTAAATGGGGCCCAAAGCCAATCACATTTTACACGGTGACATTTTATTCATAAAATTCATATCAAATTTGCAAAATGATATTTGTTATCCATTTATATCCTGCTGTCAGGTGTATTACTATATTAAAATGTAGATTTGCTAAAGTTGATTGCATTTTATGTGTTTGTTTTAGTTGACAAAACAGACGTAATAAAAGACCCAGCACCGTCTGATCCTGCATCAACAACAGTTGTACTGAGTACAACAGACATCGTGCTAAAAACGACAGCCAGCGCGGGATTAAAGATCAGCACCAACACGTTTTGGCTCGAAGGTTTTGACGCCACAAGTCCGAAAAGACAAGGTGATTTTTTATTTATTTAGAAGATAGCTCCAACTGGCAGCTAGAGGTAGAGACAGTGCTTTGGTTGTAACAAGTCACTCAGTAAGACATAGGTAGCCACCGCGGAGTGCATGCAAAACTGATGTTACTGTATTGGTTTGTATGCATGCAAAGTGCATGCATACATTGAGGAGTGCATGCAAAACTGATGTTACTGCTGCTTTGATTGTAACAAGTCAATCAGTAAGACATAGGTACTAGGTAACCACCGCGGAGTGCATGCAAAACTGATGTTACTGTATCACCATATATCACTCACTCACTCACTGCACGGCTTAGCGTCCGTTGTTCCCCGTCATGCAAGGGTTGGACGTCGTGGGGTGTCGTTTGCGTCTAATAACTGCTCTCCAGCTGCTTCTGTCTAGCGGGTTGGCCTTCTGCAGTTTCAAGTTTTTGACATCTTCCCTAATACTGTCTACCCATCTCTTTTTTGGACGGCCGCGCGGGTTTCGTCCCTCTACGGGCATTGTCATGACCTTCCTTGGCCAGTTCTGCGGGTCCGTCCTTTGCACATGCCCATACCAGCGAAGTCTGTTGTAGCGCAAGATCTCACGTAGACTGCTTACGCCTAATCTACACCTAAGCTGATCACTTGACACCCTATCAGCCAGTCTACTGGAACATATCCATCTAATCATGGCGTTGTCATAGCCTCCTTCGCAGTCTTGTTGGGCGTGGGCGTAATTTTTTCTCCTAGCGACGCTAGTAATATGCCGCCGCGAGGGACGTTTTGCTGCCGAGGGACTTTTGCCACGGAGAGAAGGTTTCCGCGCTCCAACAAGACTGCTTCCAATCGGCGAGTTAAAAGGACCTCGGATTAAGCCAGCCTTTCATAGAGGCTATTAACATGTTCGTGCAGGTCCAATTCACATGTTCGCGCAGGTCCAATTCACATGTCCGCGCAAGGGTAATTCATAGATACGCATGACACGCGCTCGCCTTTGTCAACGGTTGGTTTTATTAGCATGCGTGACGTTATAGTCGAAGGTTCCAACAGAGAACATTGGTAATGTTACAACAAAGGCATTGCCGTGCATATTTAAGCGTCCCATGCAAACAAACCAAGACAATTTGCAGTACTATTTTTGCTGGTGAAATGTGCAATTCTTTCTATTACGCAACTTGCTGCGGAGCGGTGTGTTACCCTCCCATGGTCAGTGAGATCAACCCGCCACCAAACAACATGGCGGCACTTTGTTTATCTGTCGACGTCCCCCAGCAATATCACAGTTTAGCTTGTGGGTTCCTGTGGTAGTGATTTGTTCAAAGTTGTTTTTCGTAGCAGCAATGTCTCCGGGATTTTGTTGAGTGGATAGGGCTGGGTTTTCGGGAATGGTTGGCGTTCTACCGACGGGTTGATCGGCGACCGCTGGAAAGTTACAAGTTTTGGCTCGTCGATCAACGGGGCGTGAACACCACCCTGCACTGGTGGCGTTTATTGCGGGAAGTTCACACATCCATGCCAATCGCTCCTAAGTGTTTTTTGATAGCCCTTTTAACTCGCCGACTGGAAGCAGTCTTGTTGGAGCGCGGAAACCTTCTCTCCGTGGCAAAAGTCCCTCGGCAGCAAATCGTCCCTTGCGGCGGCATATTACTAGCGTCGCTAGGAGAAAAAATTACGCCCACGCCCAACAAGACTGCGAAGGAGGCTAGCGTTGTCACATCTGTCTAGCCTTCTAAGGTCTTCCGTGGACACCGCCCAAGTCTCCGACGCATAAAGCATTACGCTTCTGACACAGGAGTTAAAAACATAACCGCGATTTATGAA